AAAAAGTTTTCGCAGGTCTCTAGCCACCACCACCCCCACCCCCCGGCACTCCGGTTGTTGCGCCTGGTCTGGGTGCAGACCCCGGCCACGTTCCGCAGTGTGCACGGCGATGTGAGCTTCCCCACCTCGGCCCGGGTTCAGGGAGTCCGGAGCAGGCAGAACGGCGCGCGCCAGGCTATTTTTACATGCTTCCCCCGCAGCTCCGCACTCCCCCTTCTCGGCGGTTGCACATGCCAGCTCTGCTCAAGGCATCAATGAAAACAGCAGTATAGGCGGCCGAGCTCCTGCGAGCACAAAAAGAAAAAAACAAAAAAAACAAAACAAAAAAAACCCCACGTGGAATGCCTGGCACAAAGTGGGAGGGGCAGATCCAGCTGGGGCTCCGGGAAGGGGAGTGAGCCTGGGGTTCAGTTCTTCACAGCTTCCCCTGAGAAGGGGAAGAATTCAGACTTGGTCAAACGTGGCCAACGGAGGCATCCAGGCAGCGTGACAATCACTTGGTTTTCTTCCAGGAACTGGCTGTTTTTGGAATGAGCCAGGACTAGACAGAGCAATACTTCCAAAAGTGGGCTGTTGCGGGTCTGCCTGCATTTATGGTGAGAGAGAGGGAGGCAAGGATGCCTCTGTGGGGTGTGTGTGTGTGTGTGTGTGTGTGTGTGTGTGTGTGTGTGTGTGTGTTGTGTCTATGGTGGTAGCGCTCCTTGTTTTTAATTCAACACATCTTTATCAAACACTGACTCTGTGCCAGGAATGATTAGGCTCTCGAGATCCAAAGATGAAGACACCAGGCCCCTGCCCTCAAGAAACTCACAGTCTGGTGGACAGTAGTGCCAGATGATCCAGGTAGCTCAGTAGCACTTTCCTGCCTTTCCTTGGTGTGGTTTACAAGCACTTTATCTCATTTCATCCTCACCTGTGAGATAAGCAAAGGTTGGTTTTCATTTCTTAGCCCCATTTTACAGGTGAGGATGCTGAGGCTGAGAGGTCCAGCAAGTTCTGAAAGTTACCTGGTCAGCTAGGACAGACAGCCTTGGAGCACAGACTGCCCCCGCTTCTGATTCACTGCCCTTTGCCCTACATTGCTACTTCTATTCTTTTATTCTTCTTCTTCTTATTATTATTTTGGCCGCACTGTGCAGCATGCGGTATCTTGGTTCCCCGAACAGGGATCGAACCCCTGCCCCCTGCAGTGGACGCAATGATTCTTACCCACTGGACCGCCAGGGAGGTCCCTACGTGACTTCTAAAAAGATGCCACGTTTGGATGGGAGCAGGAGAGAGGGGTAGGGAGAGAGGATGTTTGGGAAGGGAGAGATGCGGTGTTGGGACAGGCAAGGGTGACAGGGAGAAGGTGACCTCTCGCAAGGTTTTTAGGGAGAGATATTCTAATCCTTAGGCAGGCAGGAGAGAGTGGGGAACAAAAATACCTGCTTGTGAGCAGAGCCTCCCTTGACCGATGAAGTTTGGAGCTGGGGCGGGGGCGGGGGCGGGGACCATCCAGGGTGCAGGCTGGGTGGGCACGGTGAGCTCCGTTTCTGCTTTTTCTGGCTCTGTCCCTCAGATGCGCTTCCCCTCCTCAGCCGAGGGCATCATCCCCTGCTCCGCATGTGTCGTTAGAAACCTTCTACTGTCTGATCTCCTTCCCAGCCGGCTGTCGGCTGTCCGTGCAGAGGCCACCACCCTCACTAAGGCAACAGCCTCTCTCCTGTTGTCCCCTTCTCTAATCCAGCCCTCGATGGGCTTTCAGAAGTACAAATCTGCTCATGATCAGACATTGCTTTCAAAACTTACCATGTCGCCCTGTTGCCTTTAGGACACAGGATAAAGCCCATTTCCTTAGCCCTTCAGTACCTGCCCCATGCAGTTCTCTGCAAACACTGACTTCATGCCTGAATGCCTCTGTGCTTCCCGGTTCCTCTACCTGGGCTACTCTACCCACCCCGCTTCTCTCTGGAAACAAAAGATCTTCCCCAACCAGCAAGACGCAGTTCAAAGGTCTCTTCCTCTCAGCAGCCTTCCCAGATCGACCATTTATCCTCCACTCCACGGAGAGTGAGTTTTCCTTCCCCTTCTTCTGCGTTCCTAACACCTGGTGTCTCTCACTTTTCCTATTACAGGATAATTGGCTTTTTTAAAAAAAACATCTATATTGGAGTACAATTGCTTTACAGTGGTGTGTTAGTTTCTGCTTTATAACAAAGTGAATCAGCCATACGTACACATACATCCCTGTATCTCCTCCCTCTTGCGTCTCCCTCCCACCCTCCCTATCCCGCCCCTCTAGGTGGTCACAAAGCACGGAGCTGACCTCCCATTGGCTTTTTATATGTCTGTCTCTTCAGTTGGACTAATGAACTTTTTTGGGGGGGAGGGTGTCTACCCTGTTCTTAACACTGTGCCTGGCACAGAGTAAATTAAAAATGCTCACAAATGTTGACTGATTCATGGGGTTATGAACAAGCTTGTGAGGCTTCTGGGTGTTAATCACTCACGGCTTTCTGAAAATTGGGCTTCCCATCTCCCACTCCTGTGCTTAGGTTATTGGGGACCCTGAAAACTCAAAAAATGAGTAGCGTTTCTGGGAATCGAGGTGCTGCAAAGCTCAAAGCGTGGGTACACTTTGGTTGCCTGTGTACCTGCTTAATAGTCCCTTATTGCTGACTCTCCCCGTGGGGTGTTTTTCTGAAGAGCAGATAAATGGATTAATCACAATGCCCAATTATGAACCCTGGGGGATGATGGACCCTTCTGAGCTTCTGCTTGCTTTACTGGTTCTCGGTGAAAGCCTGATGCATTATTTACGGTGCGACTCCCTGATTGGGGTTTTCGCACCTCAAAGGAGAAGCCCCCGGGGTGAGAAAATGGTTTTAGCACAGGAGTCATTTTGGAGACTGGTTTCTGAATGTGCTATTGACTTACTGGCCTGGGGAGAGAGAATAATTATGGGCTGGGGAAATTCCTACAATAGGACAGTGGGGTTAGGGTACCAATGGCTGCTGCCCT